TTACCAGGAAATTATCGGGCCTTTCTGTATATTCACATTACAACCCAAGAGTGTATGACATTATCCTGTAGCACAAAAATAGTTTAGCTAGAGTTTTTCTCATGTCTAGCAGATTCCGCTTTGTCTATCTGTGAAACGAGATTGACAAGCAAAAACTGTCAAAATAGAGGCAGTGCACGGCAGCTATCTTTCCGGTCAGAGCTTTTGGAATATGCACAAAAGATCTACTCATGTGTATCTCTTTGAGGAAAATACTGACTGGGAGGATAGTTGCCTGCGTAACCTCTTTAGTCTAAATCGACAGTGTGTCGGCAATTTTCATGATGGCAACCCCATTCACCAGGGTAGCGACGACTACTCTTTTTGGCAAAGAAAAAAAAACAGTATCAGCCACACGCTGCTGCCATGCATGTCAAGCAATGGTTGCTTTGAAAATTGATTGCTTTGCCTTGTCAGGCATTATGATTGTACTGTCAAGCTCCATGAACTGTCGGCAAAAACTGGTCAATTCCTCCTATCCTGACGATTGTAAAAGGAATGAAGCGTAGCCACTCGCTTAACCATGGAACTCCTCCGCTACATGTATTTCGGGATTCTTCTCCTTGTGGTTAGGAGTTGGTGGGGCGGGGGAAATCTCATGGCTTTGGTGGATGGAAAATGTGGTATGTAGATTAAGTAGAGCTGATGCATGCTGCAGTTAATTGAGGATTCGACTATCGCCAGTCGGTGACTTAATGTTAGTTATAGGAGTTTTGTAGAGTCCTGTAGTTACTGAGATCAGGTCCAAGTTGAGCAGGGAAAATAATGAATTAGCACGTCAGTAATAATTACAGGTGATTGACTGGTCTTTCGTTCAACTAGAAATCAGTGTACGATCCTTTTGAGAAAAAAAAAGTGTGCAACGCACGAACTTGTGAGGTGAAATCGTTTGTGTATAGATCCCCCGACTTTGCGTGGTTTAAATCGTGTCGCAGGTCGACAATTTCATTTAATTTCACCTATTTTGTAGATAAGGCGAATTCTGAACAAACTGAAATTGTTTCATCAACTACTTCTGACACATTTGAGTGCAAGCATGCAAGTGCCCAGCCCGATATGCCAGTCTCAAGGAAACGAAATCTTTAACTCATTTTCACCTCTCGGATTTTGTGTTACCAGTGTCCAGTTTGTGTGTTGAAATATATTAGCCTATTGTATTGTATGTATTCCGGCCTGGTCCACCTGCCATTACTGCCTCGGTACACGAACATGTAAAATGTATTCCAGCATTTTTATTTTAGACCTGAAGAGCATGGTCCCACGCAACAGGCTTAAGTTCCCTAGCCGCCGCCAGCCAATGGCGTAGCCAATGGGGTCCTGGGGGAACGTGCCCCCCCCCAAAAAAAAATCCCAGTGCCTTCCATATGCCCCCCCCCCGAAAAAACAGATAAATAGATATTGAACAAGGCCATATGACAAGACTAACAGAAATCTGCCCCAAAGAACCACACTACTGACAGCTGATACCCCCCGTAAGTTGCTGGTGACTCCTCCCTCTAGTAAAATCTTAGTTACGCCACTGCCACCATCTCCGCTTGCCTTAGGTCTGGACTATACGCCGTGCTACTGCCTTGCCGAACTCAAAATAATTCCATTTTTTTAAGTTCGGCACGGCAATAGCACGGCATTTAGCGCGTTTCGGCTCGGCAAATTGAATTTTGCATGGCGAGCAATTCATTTTAATTAAGTTCGGCAAGGCAGTAGCACGGCGTCTTTGGCCTTTGTAAAATGAGCTCCAAATCATATCGAAACGAGCTACGGGCACCAGGGAAATCGGTGGTTTGGTGCAGACGAAGATGAAGCGGGTCCTACAAAATCTTGGTCATACCTCAAAGTAAACTTCCTCTGCAAACCCTGAGCTTACTTTATGCACTTTCTTTCATCGACGATACTGATATCATTAGCAGGTAAAGTTATGTGTACATATTTTGATAGGACAGCCATTCTTTGCTAGGTAACAGAGAACCATTTTGTATTCAGCTTGTGGAATCGGCGACAACTCGTATTTTGAGGGAGTATTTCGTGTAGTCACTTTTGTCTCCACGGCGTAGTGGCTTTTTGACTTTGTGTATACAATTCTAAAGGGTTTACTCAATTTTGGCCTGTGTACCGATTGTAATGACTGAAATCTGTCGGTCAGGTGGTTTCTCAGGAGCAGTGGTTCTAGCGATTTTATCTGCCTAGAAAGTGCCTTTTTGGCGTTTACAGTACCACGGATTGAGACGTGCATTTTGACCAAGATGTGTAATGATTGCAAAGCGATTTTTTTAACACAGTCCTATCTGTGAGAGAGATAGAGATTATAGTGTTGCAAACACAATGAACATCTGACAAAAGAAGTGTGGTGCAATAACAATGGACGCTCGTTGTAAGTGCACCATGTTTCTTTTGTTAAATGTTCGTAGCGAAATAGACTTTACTGTGGAGCGGTGATTATCGACCTTAATAGCGATGTCCACATTCAGCGATTTTTTGTACACAGTTTTGTGGAGTTCATCTTTTCATGTCTTATGTAGATTTCATTTCCCTTGAAATAGTGTTTAGCAATGGTTACAGTAGTTATCTCTTTGTAAACAGTTCTATTAGCTTTTTTTGAAGCGTTGCGGACACAATAGCAGGGCAGTACTGGAAATGGGCACAGTTTGGAGTAAACAACGTTTTTTCCCAAACCGGGTAGTGTGTTACTTCTGTGTCCGCGATACGTCGAATAGACTGATGGAGTACAGCTTGTAGACATCCCTTATCCCTTGCAATTAAACTAGGTGACTTTGTGCACAGTTGTATGGATTTGTGATTTGGGACCCCTTTAAGCGATCGCCACGACTGCAAGAGGAAATGTGCGTAAACTTTCTACACTGAGTCGATGATCCACAGCTCAACTTTCCTATGAAGACTGGAACCTCAATAACAATAACAGAAATCATCAAGGTAGTCTAAGAATAGTCATTTGTGAGTCTGTGTAATTCATGTGACTTAACTGTTTAGGTATTTACTACGTGACTTGTAATTTCTTTGGGTAAAATAACCTATAGTAATTACCGTCCTGTCATGAATCAAAATTAGGAATGGGAAATGTTGGCGTGGCTATAGTCACAACGGTGATAATAGGTTTGGATGTTGAGCTATGCAGAACTGTTTGGACAGAGTTGTGACATGGTGTCTCCATTGTTGGAACCAAAATTGGTGGATTATGCGTCAATGCACATTGGCAATACGCACAATGGACAGCTACATGCTGTACTGCACACATAAATGAACAGCCATGTTTTGGTTCCTAAGTGTGAAGTTAGCGCTGCTCTGTCAATTTGGAGCTCTTCCTTAAATAGAAGTTTTTTTGTGCTTTCTCGCGCTTTCTAGGGAACAGTGACTTTTGACCTGTAAAGCAACTGTGTCGTGATTCGTATACATAGTTCAACGCAATAAGGGCCTTAATGACTTTGTGCACAGTTCTAATGAATGATTTTTTTAGGGGGGGGCGTGTAGCGATTGTATAATGATTTGTTTTATGAGGTTCTGTGGGGTATTGCTTGTGATTTCATCTCCCTATGGCTTTTTTGACTTAGTGTACTTAGTGATTTCATCTCTCTTGCAAAAGGTTACATGACTTTCTGCACATTTCAGTGGAGTCAGGTTGGCAAGGTAGTTCTTTCCTCGCCTTCCACCTCTGTGGTCCCGGGTTCGATTCCCAGCCCTGTCCACATGTGGATCGGTTTTTTAGTCCCTACCTGACTCCGTGGGTTTACCCAGAATATTCCTTTGGGGTTCTCTTCCCACCTCTAAAACTGTAATTGCTTCTTACTGTCTCCCCTTTACTGATGTCAACTTGGTGAATGTGGGTCGTTTTGCAGCTGTCCGAGCCGCCCTTGTATGCCATCGGCTCAACCATGTTTAAATGTGTTCATTGTTCCACACTTAATGTCTTCATTGTACAGTGCATTTTAATATATCTATATAAAATTGGCGCTTTATAAATGAATAAGTTATTATTATCAATATTGTTATTCTCTACACTTAGAGCGATCTTCGCAGTAGTGATTTATATGCTATAGGTAGAGTGCTCCCAGGGATTTCTTTCCCCTTGCAATAACGTTTCATGACTTTGTGCACAGCGCTACGGTATAGTGATTTTGGAACCTGCTGATATCGTCATGATGGTAAAAGTGACTGCCTGTAAAGCTTAGTTTCCATATCGACGTAAGAAACTCAGAGAGCAACGCAATCAAGACGCAAAATGTAACGCAGACAAATGGAAACATGTCAAACGGAAGTGTCGCCAATAACCCAGACATACGCAAACCAGCTCCAGGCAGATCTGCAAAGTTGAGCCCGGTTCAACTTTGCCGACTGTCTGCGTTGAGTCGCTTAGTAGGCCTAGCATCTATACCGACACGCACGCTGGCATGGCGGGTGGACAACGACGCTCCTCTCCCTTAGTACAATTTATTTTCATTGTCAATTTTCTCCTCATAACAAGCGCATGCAGCCTCAATTTTCAACAAAATAGCTGACCATAAACAAAATACACCGAACCATAGTATCAGTTTAGCTTTAACAGGTGGTGTTGCCACTTAAAAGGCATCTTATGTTAAAATTTTTCTATGTTAAAAAGCTTCGGACGCCAGTTTGTTAATTGTTTTGTGGAAAGACGCCGTGCAGCGTCTCTTCCACGACTGTCTGTGTCTTAACGCTATGCGCGCCGTCGGAACCAAATGGCTCCTGTCTGATACAGTGAGTTGTGTCTGTGCGGCAATTCTATTTGAAGTCTGCTTGTGAAGGGTCCTTTCTGTCACTTGTTATTTTAATGTTTCTTATTTTAATGTGATAAAGTATATCTGATGTGCTATATTGCTTTCAGTACACTAATACGGCAGGACACATCTTTACGATCTGGTGAACAGATTTGCTCTTTTTTGTTTTACTTCATCATTGATTCACTGATATGCTGTTTCCTTTCTCAGTAGAAGTTTGCACTGCCTAGGGAGACAAACATGGAAGGGGACAACATAGACCGGGCCCGTCTTCTTGATCGGTACACCGAGGCGTTGGACCAAATTGAGAGGAACATAAGGGAAACCAAGCATACGGATGACATCCCGAAGAAGCCGGTTCTGGAGCAGTTGGCAGACAAGGCGTCAACCGACGACGACGAGGCCGGCTGCGGGGCCAAAGCGAAGCTGTGCCAACCCTGCACCGTCGAGTATTCCACGCTCAAGTTCAAGGCCTTCTTCTTCCTGTTCAAGGGGAGCAAGTCCTGCATCGTGCCCTTCCTGCCCGTCTACTACCAGCAGCTGGGGCTCGTAGCCAGCCAAATCGGCCTGCTCCAGAGCTGCTCTCCCTTCACCCAGATCCCCCTGATGATGGCCATCACGTGTCTGGCCGACCGGCTTAACATGCGTAAGACCCTCATCGTCATCAGCCTGGTGGGCTGGATTCTTGGCATCAGCCTGATAGCACTGGTGCCCGCGCCCGCCCACCAGTCGTGCGAGGCAATCTTCGCACGCTTAAAGGAAGAGCACAAGCCCAGCTTCAACGTCAGTAACTGCGTGACCAACGCCACCAACGCCCTGATATTCCCAGTCGAGGTGGACCCAGGTCTGTCATCGATCCCCGAGAGGACTACCAATACTTCCCGAGTTTTGGACACCCCCTCCTACCAACCAAACGTGTCCCTGGACTTCGGAGAGTATCTTCAAACTTCGATGCCGATCGGTCTCCCACCCAGACCACTCAACTTTTCCAGGGACCTTATCTACGCGCCCCTGGAACAGATCCTCCCGGGAACCCACAGGAAGTTCGCCAGCCGCTTCACACACTCGCCGTTCGGGCCCGTGCACCGCATATACAGCCCCTACCACTTCAACAAGCGTGATGTTAACGGCTCAAGCCTGGAGGACGCCGTGACTCTGACGGAGTACGACTGGCTCTACCGACCTGCGGACCTCAAGAATCTCTTCATCGTCTTCTTGCTCCTCAGCGTCTTCGGCTCCGTGTTCCAGGGCCCTGTGCACGCGCTTAGCAACGCCGCTGTGTTAGACAGTCTATACATCAAGGGGAACACGGTGGATTACGGCTACCAGAAGGCGTTTGGCCCCGTCGGGGCTGCTATCGGGTGAGCTATAATCCAACACGAACATTTTCAATGCACGTCATTGAGGGCGTTGTGATCCCAAAACAAAAGTTGAAATATGCAATAATTTTAATCCGTCACCTGATCATACATGTCGGGTAATTGAACATCAAGTGGCCACTAAATTAGTATTACCTGACATTCTAAAAACAGCTCTGTGTAAAACCACCTGGTCACTGTACCTGGCTTATTGATGAGAAAGAAAGTGACCCGACAAATTAAGACAAAATTGTGTTACTTGCACTTTTCATTTCATTCTCCGTCAGTACTCTTTCCATGGGAGCAATCCTTTCTGTTATGGAGCATCCCACGGTCTTGTTTGGAGTCGAGATACCGCACACGAACTACAGCGTTGCCTTTATTACCTTCGTGGTGACTATGGTCCTATGTCTGCCCCTGGCGTTCACATTCGACGCGCCTCCGGTAAGGCCCAGGGATTCAGTGTTCATGTTGTGCATTTCATTTCTCTTTCGCCTGTACAGTATTTGTATCATCTCCCACTGAACACACAGAATCAAGCTGTAAAGGTGCCTTTATTTTGTGCCGGCACGTGGTTTCAGGTCCGTTCCGTTTTCACGAACACCCCTTGCACAATTTTTGATTAACTCTCTCCGCACCTTAGGCGTACTGAGTCGGGCAGCACACATCACACAATGCAACACACATTACAGAAGAAGCCTTGATATGATCACTTCAAGAAAGTTGTAGACTAGAGGTGATGACAAAAACAGACACAAAAGAGGATTCTGAACATCTTCGCATCTCCCAATATTTATTACTTCAGAATCGAGCCCCCCCTAAGTTGGTTTGTCAGAAAGGTAAGCAGAAGATTAAATCTTTTTTGCTCGATATTGTGTCAATATCCCTGAATGAGACGGACACTTGTGTCGCAAGAGAATGCAAGACTTTGTCTTGTTTCGAACTCTTCTCTATTGAATTGTTTCGATTGAATACGTTCATTTTCCTAAAAAATACCTTATCTTTTAGACAAGTACATACCACGTTATCATGTCACTTTGTCATGCATTTCAGGGCTGAATTTTGGTTTTTAGGCAGGACGGAATTCTTTCACTTTCGCCCGCTGACGAATGTTGCAATTCTGCGAAATGGAGCCGAAAATGATATATATGAGACGTTTCATGCCCTACATTTTATGCCCATATTGGCTTAGAATACACGGGAAAGCATGCTAGATTCCAATATTTCCCATGGACCCGTTGGGAGAACGTTCCAAACTTCTACATATAAACACACCCTTATGGGTACCCCATTTCCTGATAGTTCCGCCCCTTGGCCGGCCTCCTTGGAGATGTTGTCTTGCCTTTAAAACTGTGTCTGTTAGTCACATTTTTATAGGCACAAAAATCTAATTCACAGGTTTTTTTATTAATTTATTTCATGTGCCTTTAAGAGGCCTGTGGCGTTGTAAATGATTTTCAAAAAAAAAGCACAAAGGTGTGTTAAAATTTAACTCCGCGCCCCGTGGAGGTAATTGAAGCCATTTCCAATTTAAAAACGGAATCATCGTGAGCAAGAAATTGTAAAGTCTCCAGCCAGCGTACTACGGGTGTATACGCTGAACCGAAGGCGGCCTTGTGTGATTTAGGTACGCTGTAGGTGTCCGAAGCGGACATTATCTTTGCTCGTTTCACCACGGCCCGGTTTTCGGAAAAGACTCCATAAAATGTAATGGACTATGATGATTTGTACATACTCTAACATGGAATTAGCACGAGCGTTTGGGTTGACTTTTTGTTGGTGTACCATGATTTAACGTCTTATGAGAACAGGTCGTGGCAGTTAGGAACGTTATTGTAGTCTTTTTCTTTTTGTCCCCTGTATTAAGCAAGCAGAGACCCCTGGTCTTACAGTATAACACAATTTGCCTCATATTATGTAGCTTGCACGACGGAAGTACATGTATATAACCATTTCCCAATGGGAATATCGTTCTTTCAGCTATTGATACGATGCCTCTGTTTACATAGTCTAAAGTGGGAGTAAGTCTGGTTTTATAAGAAAAAAAGAAGAAAAATCCATTGATTGGAAACCCCGTGTGCTGGCCTAACTGTATTTCACTCTAAACTTCCCTTACTCTGCTCTACGGAGTAGAAGGCTATGAAACCTTTTGTGATATCCCTGTGATATGGAGTATGGTAGAATGCAGGTGGCAAAGCAACCAGACTGGAAACTTTTTAATTTCCCCGGTGTTTCTTGTGGGTGTGTGGTGCGCACCTTTAAAGGTCAACGGTGGAGCGCCATCAAGGCAGTACCCCATCGCGACCCTCACTTCACAGTCGGGCGCTCTTTTTTACCGTTTCCCGGCATCGACGGCCATGCAATAAATTGGCTGAGCAGGAGAGGCCAGTTTACGACCATCAGCTCTCTCTGATCCCGCGCCCGTTTGCCTCCCTGCCAGCGCCGTATTTCATCGCGATGGACGTCCTCCACCGGGTTTTAGAGGGTTTCCCTACGCGACAGAGGATCGTTAGGCTCCGTCACCAAGCTCCTGGGGGGTGGCGATGTTCCTTATCTTTTTTATGTGTCCTTCTCTCTTTTTTACGACAAAACAACAATTTGTAACTGTTGGGCGGCTACATCATCAACCAGCCAGGAAAAAATTACGACGTTATTGCCTCTTGAATCCACATGACATGCGGAAATAGGTTTTTGCTTATAAGCGCAGCTTAGCGAGCTGAAAATATTTTGAGCTATATTGCTTTGTATTGTGTTTTTTAACTATTTTTTCTCTCTCGTTTCTGTTTCTATTATTCGATTTTTACATTTGAACGGAAAACTTAAATCTACGTACAAATGCAATTAGACATATTTATCATGGGTCTATTACTTGAATTAATGAAATTATGCATATTCGTCTTTACGGTTGATTAAGGGATAAAGCAGGATATTGAATAACGATGTATTAATCATTATAAAAAAGGACACAGAAGCTGAGTCCTATCTCTTTCAAGTTGACTCTTTGGGAAAGGTCTCCGGAGTCGCATAATAAATAACCAGACGGCGGCGAGATAGCCCTGCCTCTGCACCAGTTATTAATCAAGCAAAACGCGTTCAGATCACGTCCCCCCCCTTTTGGTGCGAGTCCAACTGTTCGGAAATCATTTGTTCTGCATCTCCGAATAATGATCTCGGACTGCCTTGCTGTTCAAACGAGACGGACTACTTTAAACAATCCATTAATCAACCTTTGTGGGGAGCAGGGGGAGCCTTTTTTCCTTTTTTACCAGCCTGATCAACCCTAAGGTAGACAGGAAAGCTGGTGATAAAAAGGGGAAAATGGGGGTATTGAAAGGTTCATCTAGCTCCCCCTGCTCTTACACGTCTCAAGCCCACTTCTCATCAGCAGCTATAGTTCGGGTCAAGGAGCCGTCAGGATAGACTAATTTGTAAATCGTGCGGACTGCCTCCTAAAAAAAAAAATCGGCGGAGGCGAGTAAAGAATAATTTGCGACATCCCCGTTGATTGGACTACTGCATGGGCCGGGCTGATGTTTCGGTCACGAAAGAGCACGATTGTCTCCGTACATTCTTATCTTGTATAGAGCTTTCTGTCTTGGATTCGGGGGTTGTGTAATACGAGGACAAAATTTATATTCTGTCCATATAGGAATTGGGAAATGAAGCATAGGACACTGTAAAAGTGGGTTCTGCGTAACAGTACAGGGATAATGTCCTTGATATAAATGCACGTCATTTTACAATTACTACTTATTTTCCTTCTTTTATTTTCAGAACCAGGTGTCATAAATATATTAATGTTATTACACATTATGTCTTGCACTACAGAGGTCAGTCATTCAGATCCTTCATTATAGCATCTTTATCAGCTTTCCAGCAGCTTCAGAATTTATCGGCGTCGCCTACTTAGGGAGTAACTCATTGAATGGATTTCTCTTAATGAAGGACGTGGTGTCACGTGGTTGCAAATGCACCCATTGAAAGCCGTTTGCACCCACGTTTGCACCCACAAAAATTTTGTCACACACCAAATACGGCGTAGGTGCAGGCCAAAATAAGTATTTTGACTTGCACCCACGCGATTCTGCCTTGTCCCACACTTGCACCCACAGCCACAGCGTTCTGGGGCTGCCACTGCATGTAACGGAGTCTCATATCCTCGAAGCAGAACAGAGAAACTCATATCGAGTCTGACGGTCCCGGTGACGGGAAACCAAGACGAGTCCGACGCGAAGACGACGCCCGAGTTTCAAAACGACCCCAGTGTGATGGTTCTTCTCAGGTCCGTGTGCGAAAATTCTGCCCTCGATTTCCTACTCTCTTTTGTGTTTTTTCTTTTCTTTTGAAGAAACCCAAGGACACTTCGGAGTTCTCAGTGAGGGTCCTCGTGCAGGTCATCTTCAGCGCCAAGTATGGCTCGTTCCTGCTGGCCAGCGCCTGGACAGGCGCGGCGTCCGGGCTGAGTAGCAGCTTCATCTTCTGGTACATCATGTCAGTGGGTAGGTATACCGTGTCAGAATCTAAATTTGGTGCCTTGTGCCGATAGGGTGCACGTTACTCTATACTGATGTCGAAATATTGGGCGGGGCACTGCATCGAAGTAAATTTTCTAGATGAGGGGATCCGGAGGTGGCAGAGAGGTATTTGATCATATTGAAGAAAAACCTATTTGGAGTTTTCTCCAAATAGGGGAGGGGACAGAGGTGGAGCTGGCATCGATCGGAGGAGGGTGTTGGTTTTGTCACTGCTCTTCCTTCAAGTTCACCCCCAGAGCGCCCGCTGAACTTACTGCTTGTTCTAAAACACGTTGTTAAATGTGCTCGAGTCGGACGTCCCTTAGAATAGTTTTTCTAAGATGAATTTTCTTTCGGCTGTTTTGTATCTAATTTGAATCGGCACGTTTAAGCCTATTGCCCTGTGCCTGTCCTAATTTGAAGCCGTGCAAGTTAAATATTAAACCACTCACTGGCCGTCTGTTTGTTTGTTCGTTGCCAGTTTTGTTGTCTGCCTGTGTGGTGTTATGCCTATATCTGTTGAAGTGAGACTGCAAAAAACCTTGCACTAAAAGACAGTTGTCAGGCAAGAGTTTCTTGCTACAAGATTCGAATCTGTAGGTGCTCAGACTCTGTGCTAATTTGAAATTTGTTAGTAAGTTCCCTTAACCGCATTTAGCTTTGTGTAAGTCCTCCTTTTTCCAGGCACCTGAACGTCAAGCCCGATATCAGAAGATTTTTTTTCCTTCATATCATTGCACACATCCCGCAAAAGCAGCATGGCTGCCCACTCCTGTGTTATCCACTCTGTCTACCTGTTCGTTTACCACCCCTACCCAGACACATTGGATTAGCGGTCCATCTCCGCAGTTAGCCCGCGTGTATCGAGTCAACGGCCGACTTCCAATTCACAATCAGCAAGATTCCATTGCGGGCTTCGGGCCCAGCACCTCCGCGGCATCTGTCTTGTCTCTTCCCGTTTGCATCTTCCATTGTCGATTGTACCGGCGGATAACAGGCCCATTTAGCCCGGTCAAATTGGACTTATCATTATCAAAAAAAGTCGGCGGCAGTCGACAAATCCCCGACTCTGCGCTTCCCTGCCACGCTGAGAGCTGGGTATGGGGAAATGACGGGTGGGCCAGTGACGGAGAGGCTTTCGTTCTTGCGGTGCACATATTCCGGCTGGGCCAGCTCGGCCTGCAGCCATTATGACCTGACGCTGCATCCATCTTGGTCACTGGCATCACTAATATCAACAGCTCCTATATTGTAAAAGTGCAGTATTAGGTACTGCATAGATTCAGTGAGTTTTGCATTATTTTTTTAAGTCCGGCAACGCGTCTTCTGTGATTCAAAGGTACACGTATGTAGAAACAATTTCAATTAATATTTGGACCAATGCCAAATCCAAAAATACATATACTTTAATTTCATGTGTATATAGCCGTCCTTTGAAATACTGCTCTTGTTTAGTCTTCCATCGGCTATCTTGTCTTGATCCAATGCACTACTGTAAGCTTTTACCCATCTGAAATCCTTTCAGGTGACCTTGGGACTCTGCGATCTTTTCTCCCTCCAACACGATCCATTGAATCCGCTAATATGCGTGAAAAAGATCCACAGAAATTCCGCTCTGTGGCAAGTTTCATTTTGCACTTTAATCTGTATCCGGATCTTTGACTATCAAACGCTTGACCGAAAGTGATCCGTTAATAGCGCAGATCCAATTCAAATATTTATACCCCGAAAGCCTTTTGATTGCTCCTTCGTTTTGTTCATGAAGCAAAGACAAAAATGGTTGAATCCTGAGATAAATAAAGTATCAAAGTTGTTTTAGAGGAATTTCCATCGAAAGAGGATTTTCCTTCAAAATATCCTTATATTTTAGAGTCTGCCGTACACTCTTATAAATCCACCCGTTTTTATTAAGCTGCAAGCTGAAGTGCGTCCTGTCTTTTTTTAAGTTCATGCAAAATGAATGGCTACAGGTCAAAGTGAATCTTTATCCCAGCTGAATAAGAAAAAAATGTTACAGTTCATCAAATAAAACACATTGCCCCTCATGCATCTAATTAAAAATGTAACGGCTACCATTATTGTGGCTTGGTAAAGAAAAAAACAAGCCTGATATGAGACTACACAATTGAAACAGAGCAATTGATCAGGTCAAAAAAAGGTTGAAAGAGGACAATAAAAAAAAACTAAAGCAAAACAAAGCAAAATTAAATTCATTTGGCACATTTGAAATGTACAGATAAAAAATTGAAACCCCATGCGATAAAAACTGTCAAGAAAAAGCAAACAAAGACACGACCAAACAAGCTCAGACGTAAGCAGCTGCAGCAGACACATATCAAGACGAAATACACCATCCCATAAAATTTGTTATCAGCACACACAAAAATTTAAAAGCAAAAACAAAAAAATCCCTTTGCATTAGACGGATAGACATTCTCAAGGCTCGATAGGCAGCCGGGAACGACAAATACATTTAAAAGGGGTTAAGGACAACCTCGTTCATTTTACTTTTTAAGTAAAATATGAATTAGGATTATTTCCCCCTGGAAATACAAACTTTTTTTAAGGCTGCAAAGATTGAAGTGTTGGTGCACGTATCACTGCAGCATCTACCGCCTCCAGCCCGTCAACTTCTATTATTTTCGTTTTCCTGTGAGAAAATGAATCCATTAGCAAGCAGGGAGCAGCTATCGCACCCGAAATTGCTTAGGAAGCTGATCGCTCAAGATAGCTGTTTCAATGTGTCGTCGGCCTGGGGTATATGTGAGGAAAAACGGGTCGGACCTGTTTTAATATGCACTCGAGTTTTTCTTCTGGAGATGGGTACTGACATTTATGTGTATTTATGGGGGCAATAAAACCACTGACTTTAGGTTATGGTATATTCATGAGGCCCGATTTGATAACCATCAGCGAGATTCGCTGAACGGCAGTCTTTAATGTTGTAACCAGTTTACATTAGTGCTAATTCGTTTCGTCGTTCCGTTGCCGGTTGGGAATTCAATCTTCTGTGAGTGTAACTTCCACATGTTCAGAAATTGGGAAATGATATATAAAAACTGGTGGTTTCATTAAAGTATGTTTCAAGAACAGGCAATGAAAACCAGATCTACATGGATCTAATGACTACAAGCGCAGTCTAAAACAATAACTGAAGGTTATTGCATTAGAAATCAAAGAGGTCAATATTTTCTTTTTTTAAGAAAATGGGGGCCAAAATATATCTTAAGAATTTCCTGCCAAGCTACGATAATACCATTACTTTCTCCCTAGCCAACTAGTGTAGTGTATTTTTAAAAATGTTCTGTAAGTTTCTAATCTATAGTTACGGTGTCTTTTTTTCTCAGGAGGCTCGCACGTTATCATGGGAGTAGCGGGCTTGGCAGCTCTGGCAGCCGAGACTGCGACCTACTTCGCCCTGCCCCAGCTCAGCCGAGTGACCTCTCATCATACGCTCATGCTGGGCTGCCTCCTCCTGGTTGTGATCCGATACTTCCTTTACGGTATCGTGCGGGGTCCCTGGCTGCTAGTGATCCCAGAGTGTTTTAAAGGTAATGATCATAATTTGAAGGAATACTTCCAGTTGAATATCAATTTGGTGTCATTGTCTTGGCATTTAAAGGCCTACTACTAAAGGCCTATGGAATAAGATTTCGAAGTTCCGTTGTTCTGTTTCGTGGAAGATATAATAAATTATTTTCGTTGGCCAATCACTTTCAAAAACAACAAAACCTGCGAGGCGCGCTGTGAGGGTCACATGCTCATGTATCACACTTTTCTCGGAGTGCAGAGATAATGATGCGAGATGCTAGTGCATATAAAAGACATTAACCAGTGAATGAACTGTGTGTTCAATCTTCATATTTGTCGCCGCGCTCCATGTTCAGTGTTGCTTGACGTACGAAGCAAGCTTTAGAAATGTCTGTTACTTGCCTAAAATAACCACAGACGGCTGGCGTAGCTTAAGGGATGTTCATAGCATGCAGTTAACACTGGGTTTTTTAAAATTTATTTGTGTGTTTCATTTTCAGGTGTGAGTGCAGCCATTGTGGAGTACACGCTAGGCGCCATCTTTGCGGACGAAGAGTTAGTCTCCTACTCTTGCTCACTTCAGGGCTCGTTCCTCTTGGCATACTACGCGGTAGGCTACGGTATCGGCAGCATCCTGGGCGGTGTGGTTATCGACGCACTCGGCGCTGTCAAATCATTTTTCGTAGTCTCTCTCATATCATTAATACTGTCTGTGCTGTTTCTCATCATTAGGTCGATACGGTACGGATACGAAAAGCTACAAGATTGATATCTTCTTTAAATTAAGAAGTTAAGTAAAAGTAACTAGTGATAAATTATACTACCGTGCATAGGCCTACATGTACCCCTGGTTTAAAGAAATTGAAGGTGACACATGGAGTGTATACCATATTCTTTATTCGTGTATTCAATTATACGCTAAACTGAAGTCAGTCATATTGACCTGAACGGCTGGAAAGGCATCTCTGAAATTAAACGAGCTGAAATTGACATCAAATATAAGTTGTGAAAAATGAATAGAAAAAATATATAGTGCTTAGTCAAAAATATGATAGTGTAGCTGGACTTGTCACTGTTTTCATTCTAGGGCTAGAGAAATCCATTTTCAGACGTGTTGCTTTGTGGCTATCCACTTTGTCGCTAATACGGGTGATTCACTATACAGCGCGCCACCAAGAGTTCGCGGAAGACAGGTCACTTGCAGGTTCACGTTCGACACGCTGCTGCGATAAAGTGCACTTCGTACATAATTTGGGGATATGTGATTGATTGAGGCGTTCCGTCAACCACACAAAACCATAATTTTGACTACCTAACACTCATTCTTCAGCTAATAAACCAACATTCGAGAAAAAAATCAAGTTTTCAGGGCACAGTGCAGTTAGTGAATGAGGCTTTGGCGACTGTTTGTCCCACAATGCACTGCAAAAGGCCTCGCCATAACAAACCATCGGTGGCGCACTGCACTGTGAATGACCTCTTTTGACGAGTGGATTTAATTTATACATAACCAATAGGAGTGAGGGAATCCTCAAGACTCTGATAGTTACAACTACGTCAATTTCATGCGATATTTACAAAAAGTGTGTCAAAGGAAGTGCAAACTGAGCACTTTATATTTTATATAAGCGTATATTATAAATGTGTACATCTGTATGTACTTTATTGCTTGTAATCAAGATATTTTACCTGCTGGAGTGATTTTTATTCTTGTAATGGTCAACTCCACGCACCTTCCAACATTTTAAATCGACTTTGGGTGACGAGGTGTATCTTATAATCAGGGAATACCACCAGTCTGAGATATTAACTAGATTTTAAAAAGGTAGAGGAAAAAATCTGTAATGGTGATTTTGTTCTTTATTTGACGTTGGTCAATTATTGTTATATTTGTAGGTAACTGTTCCTCTGCTTGGTTGCTACTGAATGCAGAATACTGCGCAAAATGTAAATCGCGGGCAGAGGGAGAGAGACATTATTCGAGATTATCCTGGTGGCACAGTAGATGTACAACTGCCATGTAATGTACTGTCTCTAGGGCCTACGAAATATTGAGGGGCTATAAAACAAAAGCACCCCCCTTTTAGGGGTTTCAGCGTTAACCTTCGACTTTATGAAAGCTTCATGTTAGCTATATTTTTATACAGAAACAGCTTAGCATTATTGGGGCTATGAAATTGGGATGTTAGTGCCAAGGTGGGAGTCGTGCCTACGGAACTACTGGCGCAGCCCCCAGGGGGACATGGGGACAGGGGCTTGAGCTACCCCAGATGTTTTCAATTATTTGTTTTCGGGAAAAATATATTATACGCCTACATCTCAAACAACTAACTCAAATATAATCTTAGATCCCAATCTCCAGTTGGAGGACCTTGGTTGTGGGACTGTGCGGAACACTTGATTCGGTCCTGGAAACTGCGGCTATTAATTAGTAGGATGGGCACAGAATATCAATCCATATAACGACCTCGAATCTAAAAGCAAATGGGACCTGCTGTCACGAAGAGGAATCGTTAGAACAAATGGGCTGTCCTCGATATCACCACGTAAACGTTGTGTACACATACCTGATGAAGTCCCTTGTGTGGACCTGGAAATTCAAGATGTCCAAACAACACAGTGAATTAAGGCACTGTGTGGACTTGCCCGGATTCGCACACGGCAACGTTACCCCTCTCTGAAAACGACTCGGAGGCTCAGGTGCATCGTGGAGTCAAACGCAACAACAATAGTCAAGGAATCTTTCAATGACTATCAGCCTCTCTACAAATAAAATGGGTATTTTCATTGAGACTGATCACTTCAAATGCACAGAGGAATGGCCACACTAGGTATGCAACGGTAAAAGGGGGTGAGTGCATTCAGGCACTCACGTACACCGTGACAGTGTTGACCTCCGCACATAAAAAGGTCCACCTAAAGCAGGGTTGCAAGATGGGTGAGTCAGGACACACGTTGCACGTCATCAATGCAGTATTTTCCCCTGAAAGACAAATCCTGAGGTATTTGGGGGTCAGGGTTATCTGTGGCAGAGTGAAGAGAAACATTTCAATAACTATCATCACAAATCCAGCTGGAACAAATTATCCTAGCGGGAGAAAAAGGAGCATTTCTCTGAGGGCTCCTAACTACAGAGAAATAAAGGAATGTCCATACTACATGGGAGCATGTTACCATGTTTAGAATTTTAAGGTAAAAATTAAAAGTACCTGCAGTGTAACTTTGCTGCCCTCTCCCATGCAAGCACGGCCCGATTGTGGTGCGCCCCCATTAGACACGCATAAACCAGTGGCTTGCGTGCACGTCGTCATTTTTCAGTGGGCCTCGCCTTTTGCGTCCGTCCGTAGGTCTTTAGGTTACTACACGCGTATGTTATACGTTCACACAAAGGGTTTATCCGCCAGTACGTACACTTCATTTCAGCAGGAAATATATTTTCAAGTAAAACAAAGGTAAGGCATATACACAGTATCCTGATTCTACATGAGCTGCTAGGATTATGCTCGTCACACTCCTGGGGTCTACTGAGAGTTTGCATGACACTGACAGCTGCGCACTTTCTTTGAAAGCTCTATTCTTGCCTCACACAGGCGAGCAAAAAAGCAATAAAAACCCAAACAAAAACTCTGAAAAGGGTGACATGCGGAGATACCTCAGCTCAATGAAATGGGCTCATTGCATGGATAATTGGAAAAGGTTTGATGTTTCAAGTAATTTGGAACTGTCAGAGCAGGTCACATGGGAATTATTGATATTAAATTATATTATGGCAAAGTGAAAATATCAGCTTGTTTGGATTTACTGTTGACACTTATCAACACGCATATGTTTCGATGGAATGTAAGTTTATTCACATTGCACTATCACAACCAATGTAATCTTACATATTGAATCAAAACGATTTTTGTCAATTATTTATTTCTTTTTCATATCAGTTTTAGACTTTACGCGCATTTTGTAAAATTAACAGGTCATATTTGCTGAGGATACTCTGATTTGGGCAATTCCAAGAAGGCAATCAAATGCCAGAATCGCCAGAGCACCTCATCTGACACATTGGATGGTCGCAAAAGAAATAAAACAATAAATAAGAAAAAGCAAATAAGAAAATTAAAACGTAACAGGGCATTCTCTAGAAAACGACAAGACCCAAAACATCCTTTGGAACATTGGAGATAAAAATTGACATTTGATGCTAAGTGCATTTCGAGGATAGACATTTTCGTAAAAATAGGTTACATTGTCACTTTAAACCTCTGAGAGCACGTCAGTACTACAAATTGCAGGGGCGGATCCAGGAATGTTTCTAGGGGATCGGGCTGGGGATTTTTAAATGTCTCATTTTTGCGGACAAGCGGAAACGATGCTGGAACGTTTCCTGACATACAAAACAAAATTGTTTACAATAGCATTGGTAAATACATACGAAGAATCTACGGTAGGCCTATGCTATCTTGATATTAGATTTACTTTGCTTCGTTTATTATTTTCCCCGTTTTTGTTTACCTTGTCTTAGGTTTTTTGTCTTAGCAAAGGGGAGGGATTCGGCCCCCCCCCGGATCTGCGCCTTTAATGGCCTGTTCCCCATCTCTAATTAGGCGCGGTTCTCTTTTTATTTATTTGTGCTAATATGATTTATAACAGAGGGATGGTAATGCAAATAAACTTAAGCTGTTTCATGCATGGATGGATGCTATAGAAAAATACTAGCAGACAAAAATTAACACGAGTGAGCTCTTCGGCGAGAGAGAAAATAAAGTAACTTGATATTCCCATTATGCATATGAGCATAGACTCGAACATCAACGTGACCAATTTATATCTCTGTACACGTATCTGTATGGGCAGTATATGATAAGACGAAGTTCACACGAATCTTGCTAAATACACGAGTCTTGCTAAATACTTACAAAAAATATTTGGAAATGTGATAAAATCCGTTTGGCGGGAATTTGGAATTATTTCACCGTTCTTAGTTTGCACCCCTAGAGTGGCCTAGCTTAATAGGCTCTGGAACGGATGAGTCATGGGTGAGCAACCAAAATGTAAAACTTCGAATCGGTTTTTAAAAGAAACGGGCAGATGCCTGAGATAAAAAAACACTTCACCTGAAAAATGTGTGCCGAAGGCCTTCAATTACCTCTTCCTCAAAATTGAAAACTTAGACTGTAAGATGTTTGCATAAGGTCCATTCCCATTTAAAAAATATAGAGAGTTGAGAATTTATCCCATACTAGGACCAGGGAGATTATTTGAACACGTTATTTTGTTGTAATACTGTCCATGCTTGTGTTTGTTTTCTATCTGTTTCTCCTGAGAGGGAGAATTTCAATGTCCACAAATACAGTCTATAACTGCACAAAACAAGCTGTCAGTGCTGAGTTAAAATCACCCCCGGGTACTTGCCACCCTACCGTTCCATCATTTACCCGACCTCTCTTCCAGAAATGTTTGCTTTTGATGATGGCATGTTATAGGTGTTGCTGTGTTTTGTGACCCCACACGCAAGATTTATGTTTCAGAACAGCCTCAGCGTAGCCGCAGGAAAGAGGTACTTGTTGTGTTTTCTCTGGTTGCTCAAATATACTTGTCTTCTTGAGAGATTTTCCAATATTTGGAAAGTCTGTGACTGTATCCAAAGAAACGAAGACTATTGAAGGGAAAATGTTCTTCTTTCCAGCCCTTTTCTAGGTGACTGGGAGAAACACGGGTGCTTAGTGAAGGCCTAAGTCAACTGCTGAGTGAAAGGAGTCGACATCTCTCTCTATTGGAGGTTGTAATTTTCTCACGCAAGTATTCAGTGTGTGTGTGTACAGACTCTGTGCGTGTTAAAAGAAAAATCCGCCATTCAACCCTCACTCTGAGCTTTCGAATACGAACTGATTTGTCACTAACTTTTGCTGAAGGGGAAACGTAACTGGCATTTGTATAAGTGCTGGACCGGTACATATTCTTTTTCACAGCCTTAATTTACTGTGAGTTGGATGAGCGGCGGTTTTGACACCGATAGGACTGTGGAACGCAACATAATAGTGTGATCCCCTGCACCAACTCAACAAAATGCCTGTAACGTTACGCATCGGTAAGTACACTTCGTGTTAGGTACTTTTTTCATTCTTAGAAGCTTGGATGGGACGTTTGGGGCAACTAGCAAGTTTAATTAAACGAAGAGCTTTTTGTGTCCTTGTTTTAGTTTTTCCGAGATCAAAAGAATCAATCAAAATGTTAAACTTACTGCCCAAAATTTAGGCCTTGGAGTTAGTTTTATTTAAGGGAAAACACCCCACTTCAGTAAACGTTGTCGACTTGGTTTTAGCTATATAGCTTCGCACCCATATGACATAATTCGATGATACTTTAGTATTTTGCTGTGAAATCCTCGTTGATAATCAGCGGTTAGTAGTTACAGAATGGGTGTTTTTGCACTGTGAACTACCCAGCGGCTGATCCAGCTTTTGGTGAGGGGTTTGTGGGGAGAGGGGGAGGGGGAAATCAAAAAACGAATGCGGCTTCCTTACGGCCCACCGACCAAGTGGCGGACGTGTATTCACAAATCACGGAAATCCCCCTGCCGTTTTGAGTTCCCTTGCCAAGTGTAAATAAAACATCATGCCCTCAAACACGAGTCTGTATAGCCTGATCTTCTTGCCCACGGCAAGCGGTTGGCCCCGTACAGTCTCCATGCCAACTGGGTCAATTTCCATAGATGTGTGGGTGACAGACATTGAAATACTCCCCTTATTAAAGGTAGGCCTATACCGTCCTGCAGTTGCGGCTATTCATAAACTAACTGACGAAATTGTGGAAAATCGTTCTTGGGTTAAAAGAGGGGTATGTTACCAGCTCCGTGCGGAATAATTCTGTCAGGCAAGGTGTCATTTTGAACAAAAAAAAAAGCAATGGAGGGAGGCAATTCCAAACGATGTGTCCAAAGACGCAGGAGTAAATGAGTACCTGTGACGGAAGATCTGGTTATATTAATCATGTGCGCCAGATAGGGCAGCTTCAGCTAGTATACTCCTCAGGGATCGAGCTGAGATGTTCAGTTGTAGTGAGCCCACTGTGCATGGATAGTAATAATGCGCCTTGAGCAACCAGTTGGGTGGATACGTGCGCGATATAGATAATCGGTATTTTTATTTATTATTAAAAAAATAATTGGCGTTGATAGTCGTCAGTCGTTCGTTTTTAATTCGGCTAGAGGCGCGTGCAAGTATTTTGAGGATGGACATTCGACGAGGTGTCACCGAATTACTTTTTTTAACATTGCAAAAATGTGGAACTATTCATTTCTTTGTTTTACATAAGACCTAGATAAATTCTCTTCCGTCTGTAGGACTCTGCTGTTGTAAAGTGGTTCAAGTCATTACATTGTTTCCCACTTATAAACCAGTCAAAAGAAGTTCTAACCAACGGGTATCGTTGAATAGATCTAATAAATCAGTGACATGTAATCAGCGACCAACCAATCCAATGATGGGGATTGTTGTGCAGGTGTTGTTTATAGCACAGTCTCCAGCAGCTGAAGTGGATACATGGAGCCATGCATGTCCCGGACGCGGACGCCGAATTCGGGCACAATTTAAAACGTTCGAAATCGAGATTTGAAACCAATATCCTAGAATACTGCCTTTCTCGGAATATGCAGCATCCACTCAGCTCCAACGTCATAAAGTTAACACTGGTTCAGATTTCTGATGCTTCAAACGAGCCTCTAATGCCAACTGACGAATCAGACCTTTTAGAGCGCCGTTTGTTTCAGTTTGTTTGTCAGTCTACACGATCGGGTTTTGCGACGTTTCCCTTATATATTTTATACAGCACCTGATTAAATCGTGATCGTCTTACGATTCATGGGTGGTCAATAACATCCTAATTACCTATTAAATCTTTCAACAATTCATCAGCTAACCCAGCTGAGGGAATACTACTGTATTATACCACATGCACCTCGCTACCGCATTACGCGCGGTGTAGACCTTTTTGCTGTGATGTCACAATCGTGCAGGGCCTCTATGTGTTGTGATGGTAGTACGTGCATAGTGTTTCGATAGTAATCTACCTGTTAAAGATAAATTAGCCAAGCATGTACTGTTCGAACGTGCACTTGCACGTGGTTGAAACTCCCGGTAGGAACCGTGGCCAAGGCGGTCCACACGTGGTAGTGTTGTTTACATTTAGCTCAATCCAGTCACGTGGGTGAAAAAGATCTGTAGACACGGTCGCAACTATCTTCAAGCAGACAAATGGTTGACGATACCGAAACATCAAAACGCCGTTCTACTAATGATGACACTAAGCATTAATTAAGTTTAAAAACAGGCGTTTACACTCTGTCTCTGCCAAACTAAAATATACGCTGTCACACAGAATCCTACCTTACTGTATAACTCCTACCTAGGTCTCATTGTTGCGACAATCGTCATCGCCCTGTTTACTCAGCCGACTCGTTCCCAGGGAACAGACCTTACGACGATTCCTGAATCATTTGGTACGGCTGTAGTGGAAGCCACGGTGGGACAGATCAACCGCCTGGTCGGGGTCAACAGCGACCTGCGGGCAGACAACAGATTCATCCGGCGCATCGCTTGGGTGGAAACCACCGACGGCACCGAGGCGTTCACTTACTCTGACCACAGCTACCACGGGGGAATCTGGCGAGTGGACCGCTACGCGTACGATGCCACCGTAGCCATGTACAACAACCCGCGATACGCATCTGTCTTTGATGACATCAAAACACTGATGGACATCAACTGGAGCCGAACCACGTGGGAGTATTGCCGAAGACCGCTGTATTCGGCACTCGCTGCTCGACTGTACTTTCACAGTCTACAACCAAATGTCCCTCAAGTAAGTTTTGAAGATGTAATTTTTAAGAAAAAAGCTTTTCTGAGGGAAAATCTGAACTACTTCAAATTTAAAGGGTAGTTGCAATCAATTTGTTTTAATACAAACCTTCAGCATACACTTTTGTGTCTCAGTCGACCTCATAATTAATTTTGTATAGATCACTATTTCAAAGGGTGTTTTACTATCTTTTTGGTTTTTATGCTAAGCAATATTTCCATATTCCTGAGCAAAATTGTGATGTCATCCCAGGAGGAAAGCCTCATTGTTAAATTTGTTTGTACACAAACAAGGTTGTATGTCCTCAGATTTTTATGCATTAAATGTTGTCTTCGTTGAAGATTTCTGTTTATGAGCATGGAGCAATAAGGAAGCCTTAACCCATTGTCAGAAACATTTTAGTAAGTAAATTCTTGGTTCAATTTGAAAAGAAAAACCTATGCACTGAACTATGTCTTTCCTAGATGACATCACGACAACAGCGCCTTCAATTATCAAGGAATGCATGGATAATTTTTTAAGTTTAAAAAATTCACTTTTAACGCATTTCAACAAATATGAATGTAAATGAGGTTTCACACATGCATTAAAGAAGATTACAAAGTTGCAGAGAAACTGTGTTTGAGAAAAAAGGCCCATCAAAACGAGACTTATTTCCAATGAATGCGGAAGGGACGAAAGAACAACTAAATCAAATTGGACCAAATAATTCCACTTGCCCATCTTTACTAGCACTTAGTAATATCACTGTCATACATGCCAGACACTTTAACCTCCCATGTGCTAACAGGTACTGACCTCTCAGGCCGAGCTTTGGAGGAATAGATATCACGATCAACCGTCGGATACTGTTGAAAATTTCATCAGCAAAGTGGAAGGACTCGAAAGTGAAGGTAACACATAGAAAAATGTATGAATATATTGTAGACTGACTTTAACTTGTAGTTCTTGAGGGCTAGAAGCAATAACACAGTAGAACAAAATTTGGTATGTTTTGGGTTTTTTGGGGGGGGTGTATTTTTATTGGTTTTTTTTTATGGAAGGCATGATTTGGTAGGGAAAGTTGTCAGAACATATTAAACGTCAGTGCAATTGTTAAAAATCACCTGTGTCCTATTTGTGAGCCTCAAAGCTGTAAAAGTTTCTAAAAGAACGTAGTCAAATTAGTTGGTTGGTCACCCTTTACACTTAGAGGTTGTTGGTTAGTCTGAACCTAAGTGTCTGGTATGTTGGTCTGTTGATTGGATGGCAAGCGCAGCTTGTTTTGGCGGGGTCAGGTGGCCTAATTAGGGAGGGGGAAACAGCCCCTTCGGTCGAGTGTGCCCTGTGCCCTTCCCCCGTGCCCCCGCTCAGATACTAAAAAAGGAAAGGCTCTGCTGACAGTAAGTTTTAGAACTGTAACCGAACCCACTAAGCCCCCCCCCGCAGAAAGCGACCCCCTCCCACCCCGTTAAGTCACTGGCTGGGGTCGATTTGGTTGCATTTGCATGTGTAGTTTTTACGTGATAGATTTTCTTGCTATTTTTCCCCGAAGGGTGTGATGTCAAACAAATAGACCTTGTCTTCGTGTTGGACAACTCAGGGAGCGTGAAGTCTGAGAACTTCGAAAAGACCAAGAACTTTGTTTCGCATGTCGTGGACGCCTTCGATATCGGCGCTGACCGGACCCGCGTTGGAGTCATTCAGTATTCCAGTAGTGTTACAATTGAGTTCCACCTGAACACTTACTCAAACAAAACACTTTTACAGCAGGCAATTGGAAACATTCAGTACATCGGTGGTGGTACGCAGACTGTTGCCGCTCTAAATGTCACGGCAAGTCAGGCCTTTCTTGTAGAGAACGGAGCACGACCTGACCTCAATGCGGTATCCCGCGCAGCAGTCGTCATCACAGATGGCCGGTCACAGGGGCCTGCAGCCGTCGCTGTACCGGCAGACCGGGCCCGAGAGAAGGGCATCGCTGTATTCGCCATCGGGGTGACCAACAATGTGAACATGGAAGAGCTGAATGCCATCGCTAACAAGCCAAACGACACCTACGTGTTTCACGTCAGCAATTTTGACGCCATTGACAACATCGTTGCCTCTCTTGAAGAGAAAACATGCAATGGTTAGTCTCTTTAGTCTCGTTAGTCTCTTTTGGTCTTGTATTTAACCCTATCCCCTAGGGTGAATGTAAAATCATATTTAAATCGGAGGATCTGGGAAGGTTATTGTTTTTTCGTGTGCCACACTTGTTGATCAATACAGCAAGTCCATGTTTTACCTCAGGTCTTAGCTTGGCAGTAAGGAAAGCACTTAGATGCAAACGTATGGTGTCGTTTCGGGAAGAATCTTTACGGTTACAGCTACCAGGGCTCCAAACTGTGCCAAACTGTCTGCTGTTTTCCGTCTTAAGTCTCCTTGTCTCTGCTTGATCCTTTGTTCGGCACACGCAAACAGTTCAGTCAGAAAATACTTTCAAAAATACTACCCCAGGTCCGAACATGAACAGAACCTTAACCAAACAGTGTTTCTCTTTCTGTGGGCGCTGTTTGCAATGGCCGCCAGCACTTTTTTTTAGACCTCTTGTCGAAACAATTTTCGTCCAGTTTTATCTTCTCCTTTTCTTACCATCCTGATTCTTCTGTCTGCTACTTTATTTTTGATGTTCTGTCGTCCTGGTGGGTGTGTATTTTTAACTGATTTATGAAGTGGATTCGTGAGATTTGTGACCTGCTTCGCAGAACCTGAATACAACCCCTTCATTATAGCCTTACACATTGTGCTATACGCATGACTGTATGGGACAATTTTACGTGGATACAAGAACCAATAATGAATCACTCGAAATATATACAAATAATTTTGGTCGTCTGGATTATTGCCCAAGAAGCTTGTTCCATCAGCTGTGAGATTTCCTTAGCAAACTCTCTACAGGTCTCATGCACCTGTGTTCATGCCAGACCGACCAACCTGTTCTGGACAGTTGGTATCAGATGGCCGTTATTTCATCGATTGAAGACCTTTACAATTCAACCAAAGTCGTCAAAAGTGCTTTGTGCTAAATTTCCAGCATGTGATTTGACAGAACATGATTATTTATGATATGTCGTGCCTGGCCACGACCGCTCTCTGGATGCAACAGTCTTTGGTAACATTTCGATAAACGCAGGACCTGACCATTATCACAGAACGTCTAGCTTTCACTCTTCTGTTCAGAAATATGAGTCATTATCTATCAGTTCAAGGAATGAATAAGCTTGTATAGCCAACTCAATCTCAGCATTGAAGGCCTTAAGACCTCAACAGAGATATGTTATTTCACCATCTTTTTATCACAAATAAAACATCTGGGCACCGCCAAACGTCAGCAAGGAAAACAAGATGGAAGACGCAGAACTATAAGGGAGGAAACACAGGTTATGAACAACTGTATCTCCATAAGTATTACCACCAGGGGTAAACAAGATTATTCAAGGGTGGGACTTTACAGACAGTTGAGAAACATGTGGAAATTCCCCGGACTCAGGATCATCAGATAAAAGATCACACGTTTAACTTGTGCACTTTAACATGTTCTCTGCATAATAAAACGACTAATACTTTAGAAACTTCCGTCGATGCCAGATCGACGTTATGGCTATTACAGAAACTTGGCTGAAAGATGCCCATAATAACCTCTCTAAATTCACATCTCTTGGTCACAAATATCTTCACTGCTTACGACTTAATGAATTTGGTGGAAGTGGATTGGCGCTTTATAAATATATTATTATCATTTTTACTGTTATTGCTGACGTAACAACAACACTGTCTTCATTGGGAAGGAAAGCATAAACGTTCGTTACGGTCACTTTTGTCATAAGTTTGGTGGTGTATAGGAATATGAAGAACTGCAATCAGGCACATTTCCTTAAAAACGTTATTTCCATCACCACTGTGAAATGGCCACCGATTTCCCCTTCTCCCTTTCTCTCTCCAGGTGTCTTTATTGCTGATGTCAGATTGTAATCGTGAAAAATTCGTTTCTATCCCAATACCTAGTTTGGGATGTTTGTCATTTAACTGAATCAATTTTCTTGAAGTCAGATCCGGCCCCTATCCGTGGACCAGTGGTCAACAACACGCTGCTCCGGGGGGACACGCAATTCCTGCAGCGGACCGTCCCCGAGGAAGGAGTCACCCTGGCCATCGAAGCTGATCAGGGCAATGTGGTCATGTACGTCTCCATCACCACTCCCAACCCCAACAAGGCGTTTCACGACTACGTTCTGGAGGCAACGGAGGGGCAGGGCAGGGTGGAAGTCTTCATCGGACCCGAGGAATTCTTGAATCAGGGAAACCTCTCAGTAGAGACGAACCACGGTGGCGTCCAAAAGCGAGAGGTTAGCGAATTTTGATTGTTGCTGAGGTTTTGATGTTTGAAACTTTGAAATAGGCAACTTCTGCGAAATATAGTGGCCCTGGAGTGACGTCGCCAGTCGTCAATATTGACATAAATATGTTTGTCCAAATGCTCGACTCGTATCTCCGGTCACAAATGTTGCCGCATTTTTTCAGCAAGCCAAGTAGAGAGAGGAATTGCTTGTAGACACAGCAATTGGGGTTTTAACGTTGTGCCGCGGCCTGCGTTGTGCCAAAACTGCCCAGCCGAATAACGACTTCGCTTTCGCTTTAGGTCGTCGCTTGGCACATAAATACTAAAACAGAGAAAAATACAGTTTAATATTCCAAGTTGAAAGCATGGATGAAGGACATAGAAGGAATCAGCAAAAAATGCAGCGATGATCATGGGGTAGAAAGGGGGCTTGTGATTGTGAAACTGGTGATGCGTATAGCAAGCATTCGCTGCGCTCTGACTATGGACATACCGGCCATGCGGGAAAGCGTTAATTTGCCACATGTGCTAGCCCGGGCAGTTCAAACTGCTCCGGTGCCCTTCCTCCATAGATTTGTATCCCTTTGTATAGCTGAGAAAAGTGCCGATTCAGGCTGATCTGTTGTGGTCGCTGTCGAAGTTGTGCCTGGTCAGGGTTGTGCACGCGTGTAATCGTTGAGATGTGTTGTTGGGGCTAGTTTAAGTTTGGCACCTTTGATTAATGTAAATTTGTTACGGTAAAGATTTTGTTGTGGTGGTGGTTATCTTTGATGTTGTGTTTGAATTTGATGTTTTTGTGTTGCATCTATTACCTCAATAATGTCCAGAAGAAGGTTGATTATGTGTTTGCTGTTCTTGTTTTAGATTTGTTTGGTTTCTGTACTTTACACTTCTCTTGCCCTCAATTTTTTTCTTTGTTGGTTTGTTTGTTTATTTTTTTAGGGGGGTTGTGTTTCTTTTTGTTACTTCCTTTCCCTGCCGCTATTTCTGTCGTCCTTTAACCATGTCCTCTTTTTTATAATTTCAATTACAGGCGCCAGGACGGAATGACATTGACGATAGCTCCCCCATCGGCACGGTTTATTTGACCATAGAGGGTCTGCAGGAGACCAACGCGTTCTTGTTGATGGTGACAGAGGGTGACGTCACCGAGCCAATTCCGGCTACGGCCCCTCCCGCGAATGGATGCGTTGCTGTTAAGACTGCATATACGTTGTACATCGGCGTTTGGCTGACGTCAGCTCTGGCAACGAAATCTGCCCTCTTCTAGACTGCATGTTAGCTGCAAATGGTATTAAAACGGCTAAATTATCCCGAGTGCCCGGTATGGGTACAGGAATAGAAACGGAATATTTTTTTTTCTTAAAAGAAAAAATCTTGATGAGTTTCGAAACCAAACACTAAACCAATAATCTCTAAAAAACAAATTGAGTTGTAAAACCTAGCGATAAAAAATTTAAAATGGCCATGTTTTGGCTAATTTGATTTCCCTTTCAGTTCCTTTCCCGTTGTGTGGAAGTATTTGATTTGGATTAGACGCAATTTCAAGTTTTTGGATTTGGAGTGTTTAAGTTGCAGCACATCGCATGTATAATAATTGCTTCCCTACTCATTACTCTAGGTCCTTCCAAAATCATTTCCGGGATAAAATGATAAAAGATTAAAAATAAAGTAAGAAACATCGTACATATACTAAAAGCTCAAACAAATAAAACAAAAAGAAAAATATTGTTGCACCCCAGGCAAAAGAAATGCACCGTTAAAGTTGCTTCTTTTTCTTCCTGTTTATTTTGGAGCAATGGAAAATTTTACGTACATGTATTCTCTCACGCCTTGACTAAATGCATTACATCAAATTAAATATCTAGCTGAGATAGAAGTGTTTTCAGAGAAGTATAAAGTACGTGAATGCAACCTTTACATCAAAGGCACTGATTAAAGAAAATTGGGCAATTGCATGCGGTGTAAAGCTGAAGACTGGGGCAAATCACAATTGACGAAAAGTAACAGAACAATCCCCGAAGATTTTCACTTCCTATGCACATGGAATACCTGGCAGAAGGGTTAACCACATCATTGATTTAGAGCGAGATTTGAAGTACTTCAGAAGCTGGACCGACGCTTTCCTAGTAGGCCAATACTTCCTGTTAATGTTATCTGTTACTCAGAAAGGAGTTTTATTCATGCTCTTTCATTTTCAAGTACATGCAAAATTATAATATTGTAATCATATTATGTCTTGTGAATAGTGTTTGTTTTAACTGTGATATACATTGGTGTGTTAAGTTGTGTTACTACTTTGCATGCATCGATCGGCGCTGGCGGCCAGCCCAAGTGTTCAGAAAGGAGAAGTGTAAATGATTAAGTTTTGTTGAGTTTACTTCCACCTATTAGACTAGGTTTCTGCGTTCCTTTCATTCTGTTGGTTGAGTTGTGCTCATTCCTTTCAATTGAGTGCGAACATCCGATACAATAACATCTTATTATGATAAATCTTAAATGAGATACAATGTATTCACTCTTCGAAAGAATAGTTGTGGAACCAGTTGCTATCTAACCAATACGTGTAAATCTAAACAAAATGTAAGAATGTTTTCTTGGCGTGGTTAAAGTTTTTCAAGTGGATCAAAGAATGCGGATATCGCCCTCTGGTTTTTCAACCTCCGTATATTCCAAAAAAGATAATTGCTCGGATTGAACAACGGTGTGGTCTGTTATCCGGACAAAAAATCGACGATTAATAGGGGACTTCTCAGAGGTAAGTGCATGTTGGCTGAACTTGGCTGATGAACACTGTGTGC